TTATTAAATGGAAGATGGAAGATTAAAAAGATTTTATTAACATCACTATTTTTTTATAATAATTAAAAAAAGTGTAGTATTAAAAGAAGTTATTATACTGTTCTACATATCATGTTTGATAAATATTCAGGACTCGGTCATTATAAAGTTTTTGTTAGTGCCGACGTTTCAACCCAAACGTGTGGGTCATCATCAGGGCGTGTTTCTTCAGTACTCGAAACACGCCTTTATGATGACCCACATGTTTGGGTTGAAACGTCGGCACTAACATAAAACTTTATAACGACTGCATCCTGCATATTTATCATCCATAAAAAAAGTATACTAAATGTGTATTTTTAAATCTAAAGGTTTATTTTTAAAATCACTGCTGTGTCATGTTTTTCTTAAATGTATAATTATTGAATAATAAGAAGTAAATAATAAACATTATATGCGTTGATAGTTCACCGTGTGGTAAATTAAGAATAGTGTCGCTCTCGTCTTTGCCTTGTGCATAGTGTTGCCCAAATGCGAGACCGAGACGAGTCTTGGTCTTGCAAATCAGTCTTGGACATGGTCTTGGTCTTGCGCATGAGTCTCGCAACAGTCTTGGAGTTACTTAATAGCTCATTGCTATAGAGATATTACAATTTATTAAATTTGAGAAACCTAACTAAACCCGAATGAAAAATTAGAAGAGTTAAATGCAAAAGTACATTGGTTATACCAATTATTAACGTATAGTAACTAAAATTGTCGAGTATTAGTAACTATTTTTCCTTAATTTTTATTAGAAAAATTGATTTTTGTTACCAGCCCTGGTCTTGGTCTTGCAACAGTTAGGCGGCCTTGGTCTTGGTCTTGCACTTTGCAGCGATTTTGTGCAACACTAATTGAAAGTACCCGCTGATGCAAAATTATAACTTTATGTCATTCAAAAATATTATATTTTGCCATTTTCTGAAATAAAAGTAACATTAAATTGAAAACAAAAAAAAATTATGAAATATTGAATGCTAAATTAAATTACCGAAAAAAGCAAAGAATTCCAATATTAGGTCAATGCTCACAGATATACTATGCTTTACAGAGTTTATACAATGGATTTTTATGTTAACAATAAAAAATAAAGACTGGAGTAGATAAAAAAAAATCGTAAAATTAAAGGAATAATGTAGAATTATACAAAAAAATACCGACAAGACCGATTTTGGGCAACACTACTTGTGCACTCAGTCTTGGTCTTGGTTTTACGCAAGAGCCTCGCAATTACCTATTAGCTTATTAATATTTGTTAAACATGTTACTTTAGATTTTAGAAAAACGATACAGACTAGGTATATTTAGATGTTTTGTTGACATAAACATAGTAATTTCCAACCAAATTAATAAAATTTACTTGACAATACCTTAAAGGCATTTTCAAGAAATATAGTGATAGGCTTCCGTTTTGGAATGGAAGAGTTGTTAAGTAAAGACAATCTATACAATGTCACCAAGTATTTAAATAAAAAATCTGGTGTGTCTACTCACATGACTTTCCTACCGATTTTAAACTTTTTTTTTCAATTTTAAATATGTACATTAAAAATAACACATTTGAATTAGACTAATTTTTCTTATAACCGATCAGATAAATCATTAGAGTACGATTTCCTTGATGAACCAAAGCAATGTATACGGGCAAGTGAACAAATATTAAAATCAGTATATAAAATATAAAGATATTACTGTCATTTTTCAGATGGGGATACCTAACTAAACCTGGATAAACTTGGTTGTTAAACGTGGTGGTTAACTAAACTTGGAAGAGTTAAATGCTAGTAAGAGTATATTGGTTATACCAATTCTTTACATATAGTAACTAAAATTGTCTACTATTAGTTCTTTTTTAGCAATCTTGGTCTTGATCTTGCACTTTACAAGACCAAGACCAATTTTGGGCAATACTAATTAAGAAGCATAATGTCAGGATGTCGGTCAAGAATAATTTCGTTAATATTCGTATTTCTTTTGTTGCCCGTTTAGTGCGTTAGGTTTCAGATTTCAACAGAACCCGCAAAGCACCAAATAAATTAGCTTTGATAGGTCTTTTTCTATAGTTATTAAGTTATGTTCTAAGAATCAAATTATTTAATTTATTATATATCCTATTTTTTATCATTTTTTTTTAATGTTATGGTCTTTATTTCCCTTTTTATATTTAATGTTTATAATCTTCATTATGTTATTTTATTTTTTATGGTCGAAATAGAAATTGTTCATAAAAGTTAACATTAGACCTGGCCAAAGAAACTATTAAAATTAAGAATAACTAAAACATAAGTAATAAGATAAGTATATACATAGCTATAAAGATATATTAAAGCAAGCAGATGAGTAATAGGATTATGCTATATAATAGATTATAACGCTAAAAACTAAAAACTAAAAATAACTAAATTAAATTGTAATGGAACACTAAATTAATTTTATAAGCAAACCATTACTGTTATAAAAAAAAATTAACTTATAATATTTTTAAATTATAATTTTAATTAATTTATATTATAATTTTAAATTATAAACGAATAATAATTGAAAAACTTGCTCTGAACCATTAGTTGACTACAATGATTAATTGATAAATTATATTAGAAAAAACTTTTATATTTAGAGAATTCGTCTTTCGTTTGAAACCGTTGGAATTGTCCAAAAAAGATTTTAAGCTAATAAAATCAGAACAGTAAAATTAAAGTTTAAAACATTTTTTACCGAATGCGTGTTTGGAAAGTTTAATAATTATATTACTGTTGGAACGTGTAATACTATAGAAAAAGAGACACTTTATCACGTATTATTTAAATGTCCAATATATTGGGTTAGCAAATAAGTCCTTTAGGTTTTTCTGTTTATTTTTATGTCACTATGATACACTTCTTATCTGATGAATTAATCCCTAAGGTGGATTGTTTATCCTGTTTGTAATATGTAAACAGCTATATCTGTTAACTCTTGTTGAAACTAGCTTAGTATTGTGTTTGCTATTGCACTGTGAATATGGAAGAAAATATCATTCTTTATCGGCATATTTCTTTGTGTTATTTTAAAAAAGGTAAGAGTGCTGAGGAAGCTCATGTTCAGTGTTTATGGGGGTGATGCCTTAACCGAACGCACCTGTCAAAATTGATTTGCAAAATTTCATTCAGGAAGTTTCGACATCAATGATGCTCAACGAAAATCACAAAAAATGTTATAATTTCAATACGACTTTAGCTTTCTTCCAGAAATTTAGAGCCACATAAACTACACAACATGACATCATCAACAGGACCTTCGTAAAAAAATTACAAATAGAAATAAAAAATAAAAACCTATAGGGAGTTTTTGTTTATTTATTCCTTATGTAGGCATTAAATAAAAAAAAAAAACATTCATACGACTTTGAAGAGCAATAATTCAGCTTTCTATCGGATATAGAAACATCGAATTTGGCGAACGAATTACGTTGAAAGAAATGCGTTTCCTCTGTTAGTTTTAAAATTAAAAATTATGTTACTGACAAAGGAGCACATAAACGATAAAATAATTGGGAGTTCGCTTCCCGGTGCCAAGGGGGTTTTTTACTTGGCATTAATCCCCCTGTTCCGGGAAGACCCCAGTATATCCTAAAAGGCGTGGAAGAGAAGATTAAAAAAATAAAACAAAAAATAATCGTAAAATCAGTTTTAATTAAAAAAAAAAAAAAGTCGGGAAAAATTTCAGAAACGTTACCGTATGTGACAAAGATACTAATTATATGTCACAAAGGACTTTTTTTTTTTTTTTGCCAAATTAATGAATAGAGTATTTTAATAAAATTTAAAGAGGAAAATAAAGTTAACAGACCCTTAATTCAGCTACAGGCTCTTTAATCTTTACAATTTCTCCTCTTTAAGCAACTATTCCTTTCCTAATCCGAGTGATTATAAAATAAACGCAAAAGAACACTATTAATGTTCGGATGTTGGTATTATATACATGTATGATTTTTTTTGTCTTTCTCTCTCTTTCCTTTTTTATATTTATATTTAATTACTTATTATTTTGTAAATATGTAATTTAATGTTTTGCCACACTGAAATCTCTTATTTACTCTGTATAATTAATTTATTTTAAAAGGTTTTAGAATTAATTTATTCTAAGAAGAGGCCGATGATGTTCTCTCTTAGAAGACCACACCAGGCATATGTTAATATGAACTTTTTTGTTTATTTTGTGTTAGTGAACACATACCTAAAATAGTGTCGTGCAATTACGAAACACACCGTATATATATTAGTTGGATCCATAAGTTCGTTCGGTTTTTGAAGGGTGGAAGAAAAGATGATTTTTCATAGAAAGAATAAATTTTATTCTTTAATGTATTTGTCATTTTTATTAATGACCTCTTGCCATCTTTCTAACTATTTCATTATTCCAGTCTCGTAAAACATGTGGGGCTTAGAAGCGAAAAACTGGTCGAGATACGTTTTCACGCCCCTATCATCAGCGAAAGATATCCCGTTGAAGAACTTTTGGAGGGGCCGAAATAAGTGGTAGTTGGGTGGTGCAAGGTCTGGTGAATACGGTGGGTGTTATCAAACATTCCAGCCAAATTTCACTAACTTTTACTGAGTGATTATTGCTGAGCGTGGTCTGGCGTTGTCATGGTGGAATGCAAGACCTTTGCAATTGACTAGTTTTGGGCGTTTCTGTCGCAATGCTTGGTCCAATTTCGTTAGCTCCGTGCAGTAGACCTTTTAATCAACCCTTTTTCCTTGTGGAAGATACTGGTAAAACAGCACGCCGCGATAATTCCACCATTTGGAGAGCAAAATCTTTTCCGGCCATCGGTGTTGCATTAGGCGGCCGTCAGTGTCTGTCCACGATCTCTTGTGCTCTATATAGTCGTAGATGATCCACTTTTCGCCACACGTAACTATTCGATTGAGAAAGGATCCGTTTTGTGCCGGTTCAGCAGAGAGTTCCAGATTGATATTCTGTTGGCCAGATTTGCCTCAGTCAGTTTGTGTGACCCCCCAAACACTATGACGGGAAACGTAGCCTGTTAAATGCCTTTGAACAGTTCCAAAACATATTTTCAGTCTCCGCAATTTCTCGTACCTGCAGTCTTGTTCGATTAGAGCCTTGATGTCACTCGAATCAACATCGGTGGGTTGACCGCTGTGGTGTCCTTCTTCGAGACTCATATCTCCTTAACGAAATTTGGCATATTATTTTTGAGCAGTACGTTCGGTTAAGGCATCGTCCCCTTGTACCTTACGTTTCTTTCGATGGGCCTCCGAAGCTTGCTTGCCTTTTTTTAAACAAAAAAGCCAAAAAATTCGATGAAGAGTTGAAATGGCTTTATCCTTCCAACCGCCGTAAGTATCTCCTGGCATGCTTCCTCTTCAAAGTAATTCACTCCCGCCGTCCTTCATACATCTCCGAGCTCCTTCAATTTAAATCCTCTGTCCACTCCCGCAATACCCGTTTTCACGATTTGTATATAATGACCCACCGAACCGCTACTTTCGATAAATCTTTTATTATTCGATCCTCAACCCTATGGAATTCCATGCCTTCCCACATTCGTCAATCCAAAACCCTTCTTACCTTTAAATCCCGACTGTTTAATCATTTCTTATCCATCCAGTCCTCATAAAATTCTAAATAGCTACTACTGTAAATATGTCTATAAATTATTATATCGTTTTTCATTATTTTTACTTCATGTTTATTTTAATTTTTTTTATGTTTTAACATTAACTGATTTAAATTATAAAATAAATTATAGTTTCTTTTATGATATTTTTTATTTTGACTATTATTTAATCAAAATATATTCTTGTTTATGTATATCTGAGGCTCCTTAGCCCACATTTTTGTCTTTCTGTATTATTCTAAAAGGGACTCGTCCCAGAATAAATAAAGCATTATTATTATTTAAAAAAAATGCCGAAAGTGCACTTAATCATTTGACATATTCACTACGCTGTAGCACAAACAAAACTAATGCCAATGAAAGAGAACTCAACAATGTCGAAGAATAGACTTTAACCTTTCCGATAAATATCATTATTTTCAGATAAGGCAAAGAGAATTGGAGATATTTGAAAACAATTCGCTCTACTAACAAAAACCTAATGAACTTATGGTTTCACCCAATATATATATATATTGGTCACGTGAGAAGTGGTCCATAAAATTAACATAAAAACATTATTGTACATAACTTTTAAACAAGTCTTTGTTTACTGCTTATCTATCATTTAGAATCATTTCCATTTCAATAGCCTTTTTTGTCTGTTATAAGAGCATGTTTCATCAAATAGCGACTAAAGATCATTTAGGGGGAGGATAACCCAATGAGGGAATAGATTCGTTTTTGAAGGCGATTGTATCCCTTAATAAATATTGGATTGTGCCTCTGAGCGGCTGATGGAGGAATAGATTTGGGGTAGAAGGCTTCCCGCTGTGCCATGCACATCTGGCCTTCCTCGGGCCGCTCAAACCCATCCAGTTTACAAATATAATATCAAACAAAAAACTTGTTTTTTACTAATCATTTACACTCCCAATGATGTGTTAGTGATGTTTATTTGCCATGTAATTATTATAATTGAACAGTAAAGTATCAGATACAAACTGAATCATCATGATCAATGCTAATTTTAATTAGCCTGTGGTTTTTTTAAGTATGACTGACATTAAAAGTGAGATTACATATAAACCATTAATTATATAATACATTTTTAGCAATTATTCATTTACTAAGTATTTATTATGAAACAAGGTTTTAATTGTCTTTATAAGAATATGAAAAAGAATTTCTATCACCTTTCACAAAGCATCGTGAGTACATATTATTTGTTTTTTATTTTTCTTAACCTATACTTTTCCTATTCATAAGATTGTATTTCTTTAAAATGTATGTTTTGTGTTACTTAACTTCTACACACTCCTCTCTATGTGTGAATATGTATATGTATATATATATATATATATTCAAGTTTATTTATTATCATCCAATTTTACACCAATTTTTAAATTTTGTCAACTTAATGACTATAAATCTCAATTACGTTTCGGCTCGTCGAGCCATTTTCAAGTCTAAAAAGTTTTTCAATTTACATATGTATATGTTTATAATAAATAGTCTTAGCCTACTCCTATAAGAATAACCAGTCACTGAATAGAAATGAGGCTGATGACATGTGGGTGACACATGATAACGTAATTTCAACTTATTTGAATCATTTCATAAGACAGAATTGAGTAATAATAATGTTATAAAATAATTAAAGGTGGACATGACAAGAATAAAAATTTTTATTATGATTAGATGCATGCGATTCGCATAAGTGAAAAGGACTGGTACATGATGGGTATTTAGGTATATAAAAAGAATCTTTATATTTTGAAATATTTAAAGTTTATATGTGATTGTAAATTGAAAAAAATTTTTAGACTTGAAAATTTCTCGAGGGGCCGAAACGTCGTAATTGGGATGTGTAGTCATTAAGTTGACAAAATCTAAAAATTCGTGTAAAATTGGCTGATAATAAATAAACTTGAAAATAAATAATAGGCACCAAAGAAGAAGTGAAAAATATTGTTTATATTTATATATATATATATATATATATATATATATATATATATATATATATGTTATTATTTTTTTTTCTCCTCTTAATCTATTGCTTCATAGGTAGATCACAATACTTGCTTAGTTTTTCGCAATATCTTTATTTGTATTCACTTAAACTTTTTAAGCAACAGATGTAAATCATTTAAATCATTTATTTACTCTAGTTATATATTTTTTTTTATATATTTGATCACTACAATAGTTTGCCTATAAAATTTATTTAGCGTTCCTTTTTAATTTCATTTATTTTTATGTTATAGTTTTAGCACCAATATTATAGTATTGTAGTCCTAGTACCCATCTGCTTTTGTTAATATATATTCAGAGCTACGTATATACTTATTTTATTTACTTATAATTTAGGTATTCTTTATTTTAATTGGTCTTTTTGCCAGATTCATCGTTAATTTGTATGAACAATATTGTTATACTTAAGGGACCTTTTCCCAGAATGAAGATGATTTTCTATTTCTATTTCTACATATTTATTTATTTTTATTTTTCAAACGATTATAAAACCAAATCAAACCTAGTTACAAATGTATGAACAATACATTATTCAGTCCCGAGATGGGCAAATGCTACTCTGAGTACCGAGTACCGAAAGTATTTTACTCAAATTGATTCACTATCAAGAATTCAATCACTACTTCAGTTAATCGTTTGACATAAAATGAAGTAGTAATTAAATTCTTTGGTAATTAAATTAAAGGTCATTGAGTACTTAGGTCATTATTTGAGTAAAATGATGATCTAAGTACTCAATACTCAAAGTAGCATTTGCCCACCTCTGATTCAGTCCTCTGCTATATAAAGTAAAAATTTGTAATTTAATTTTTTAAATAAATTGAAATAACTAGTTTTATTTCTTATAAATAAACTTATAAATTAATTCATAGAAATTTCTCTAGTCTATTACATTACACCAGCCTATTACATTAACTTCAGTGAATAATAAATGGCTAATTATATACTTCTTAAAATAAGAAAACAACTTTTAGCAATTATCTATTTATCATTTTATCAAGTAATCAATTACATAAATTGTCATTCCTGTACTTATAAATAGGGTTTTGAATATAAAATTAGCCATTACAATTTATATTTAATTTATAATTAAATTTTAGATATGTATATCAAAGCATATTTTTTTTTTTCCAGAACAGTAATCTTATAGCACAGGACTGAACCAACTCAAAAAAAAAAAAAAAAAAAAAACTTATAATTTGACTCACGTTTAAAATTAAATTGAAATTACTAGTTTTATATTCAAAACCCAACTAATAGATACACGAAATTTTTATATCCGTGTTTTCGTGGCCTCAATTAAAATCTGTACTAAGTTAATAAAATCTTTTTAAAAAATCATCTATTATAGTTATTGTATGAATTATTCCCATATTATGACCAATTTCGCCATTAAAACAAATTGTGGACAATAGCCTAAGTTTTATTTTAAAAAATGATACATTATAAAATATAAAAAAAAAAACGAAATAGATATTTTTCACTTACTTCATCAAATATGTATTAAAATCTTTAAATTTTTCTTCAACTTACTTCGATACGTCATAAAAAGATTAAATTAGAATTTTCCCTTTTTTTAAATATTTTTTTTTAATGTAAATTAATAGAATAACATATTATTTATTACTTAATCGGCTAATTATCCTTAGTAATACGAACATCAATACTCATCTTAAAAAAAAGATAAATTTCAATATTTACATAGATTATTTTAAAAAAGAAATAATTCAAATTGAGCCATAGGAGAAAATTAGATGGTTTTATCAACTGTTTGATGAAATCCATGAAATCAAGAGAGAAGTATTGGTTTCAATTTTTTTTATATATATTTTAAAATGTATCAATTAATCATAATTAAAAATTTATGCTTTTGGTCACATTTTTTAAAAATAGTAAAATTGGTATAATAATTGAACATAAATTATTAATAATTCATACAATAACTAATATTTTGTTAAATAAAATATTTTATTATACAATGAAATATTTTGTAAACTTATGTATATATATATAATACTGTATATAGGTGTGAATGAGCTTTAGAAGAATTTTATTTAATTATTACATTCTTTCTTTTCTTTTTTTTATTTATTTTACTTATTCTTAATTACTTTCATTTATTTTTCTTGTATGTATATATTGTATGAGTGGAAACTTTTAGCTCTAATGTTTTTTTCCCTCGAGTGTGTCAGATTGTGTTAATATTCGATAAATAAATTATACATATATATATATATATATACACAAAATTTCTTCAATCGACCTTTGAGTATTATATTTTAACATAATTATTAAAATTGGGAACTAGGTCACATAATTATTATTCAATAAACTACAAAATATTCATTGATGCTGTTGTTTATGCGATATTTCGATCCCGGTTTTTTTTTTTTTTTTTTTATTCTAACAATAAGGAATAAGAGGATCCCTTCAATGCCAGAAAAACAAAATCGGTACCCAATTACGCTTCCTTATGACTAAAATAACAATTATTTCAAAATTAAACATACTTTTAAAATAGAGCCTCGATACCTCAGGCATTAGCAAAAAAAAAAAAAAAAAAACCGGGAACGAAACGCCGAATTAACAACAGGATCAATGAATATTTTGTAATAATTAAATGACCTACTTCTCAATTTAAATAATAACGTTAAAATATATATTACTCAAAACATTATATACAAAAGTTTCTAAAATTGATTGAAAAAAAACAAAACAAAAATCAATTAACTACATTAAAAGGGTTTTTATTTAGAACAAAATATAAAAAAAAAACCTTTGTCCCCTTCCAAATTAAATTAATACAGATTGGTAGTGATTAGTATTTAAATTAAATTTTAACATTAATTAAAAAATCAAGTAAATAAATTGAATAAACGATAATTTTATGAACTATGCACGTGAAATGCTAATTAGTAATATCAATTACATTTTACAGACACATTATGAATTTTATTTTTCTTTATAATTAATTCATTAACACCTGGGCTATTAACGCACTAATAAAAAAAAAAGGTGATTTCTGTTATATTTTAATTATTATAAATTTCATACAATATTTGAAAAAAAAAATATTACCTAAATACGGGCATTATATAAATGTTTTCACAGTAGATTACGGTTGCTTAAACACTAAATACTTTGGAAATATTAAGACCAATTTAAGAATCTCAGTATATTACCAATCAGCTTCTTTTATTAAAATTTAACGACAGATTATTTTATAATATATTTACGAATGTATTTCTTTTCTCATAGGTTCCGAAAGAACCGTAAAAACCCGGGGAAAATTTAAAAAATAAGTCTCTTTGAACCTAGCTGACGGTAATTCAAACCGTTTGTTGAGCGGCATATAGAAGAAGGAAATAGTTTTGTGAGTAATGGACTATTCTAGTCTAAAATTTTATTTAAAAAATTAAAACAATTATACGTACAGTAAATTTCTCTTATTACTGGCATGTTTTTCATTCGTTATTATTTTATAAATTTTTTTTTTTATAATTTAATTTATGCTGTCTATACTTATACTTTGTGTATTATTATTTTACAACTGAATCCAAGTGAATATTTAAACAATATTTTTTTTCAAGTAAAAAAAAGATCGACACTACTCCAAACGTTAATAAAAAATCAAGATCACTATAAAAAAAAAAAAGAATTTATTTAAAGATATTATGAATTATATAATTTTTCTAATAAGGCATGAATTAAATAACATTAATGCTATTAGTACATTGATGCATAAAGGGGTTTAAAGCTGTAACTCATTTTATAGTTACACTCAGGCTTTTGTACCCATTATATTAGTTTTATCTAGTCTTAAAAAAAACAAAAAACATGTTTCCAGATTAATTTTGCATTTTTTTTTATATATAAAAAATAAAAGGTAAAATAAAATCTGTATTTGTTATCCAAGGTAAATATAACGTCTCCAAATACTACAAAGTAATGGAATTGTTCTCTCATATAATTTACAACTCCACAACTTAAGTTTGATACCAGGACACGGGTTAGTAAGTTAAATTATACTTCCCCAATTATTACAATGAGAAGATCCCCTTAAAATTAAATGGATTGAACGCAATGAAAAAATGTTATAAAATATCTAGTATATGAATGAAGTAGTGTTTCATTCGGTATCAATTTATGAATACAATTCTAAAGTAAACATCCAGCGGCTATTTTATATACATTTATATGCGGGCTATTTTGATTGTAAAAAAGTGTTAACATTTTAAATTGCTTAAGAAATGGCGTTATTTTGTGTGACGAGGTTCTTATTAGTAAATACTGTTCCTAACCAGGAATGGAAAAAAAAATTGTTATCATATTAGGAAACTCCATATGACTAATTATATTCCTCTATATTCTATAAGAGCTGCGAGCAAGAGTAATAAAGAATAATGCTATTAAATTTGGTTGGATTATTTTTATTAAACATAACCAATTAACCAATTGAACAATTCGGACGGTATGTGATCGCGCGTATATTTCCATAAATATATAGAATACATGTAAAATTTTGACATGTAACAATGGACGGCATACATAAAAATGTTCGAATAATCTTGCTTATGGCTTGTTGCGACTGCATAAAATAGTATTTGAATAATTTGCAAATATCAAAGTCGTTAATAAGAATATAATTTTTTATACTACCAAAATATTATAATTATAAACAGTTTAAAGTACGATAATCATATGATTACTAATATCCATGAAAAAGTATCGCAGATATATAAACTTTTTTTTTGTGATCTGATAAAGTTTTCTGTACATGACAGGATAGAAAAAATTAAAAAAAAAATCCAAGGAAATGATGGTTTCGGTTTCATTTACAAAACAGGACAAATTTATTTTTCTACTTATTAATTGTATTAATGCAATGAACTTGATATGATAACACATTAATCTTCCCTAGATTAATTTCTTTTGATCTAGTTTGTAAATTCTTAGTATCATTTTAAATTAGGTTTCAAAAACATTTAATTATGATTGTATGATTTTTTCTTTCAATGTTTGATAAATGCCTGCTTATAATAAAGGACGTTGTAAAAGTTGACAAATTTATTATTTAAACAAACTAAATTTTAAGAAAATATACCAACGAATCTCAAGGAGGAAGAAGATTGAAGTTACATTTCTTTAACAAATTTTAAGTATGAAATTACCGTAATACAGATTTTTGATAATTAAGAAAGTCAATTTCAAAACATTATATATGCAAATTGATATACATTCAGGGATGAGTGTTGATTTATGATAATTAGTAGTCGTTCAAAAATCCTATCTAGCTTCACATAAATTGAAAAAAGAAATTAATTGTACTGTTTGCAAGTGTTATAGATATTTAAATAAATATTAAATGTACAATTCTTTATGAATGTTGTAGTAGATAGCATAAATATCAATTTCGTAATTTATTTGATTTAAGCGGTTTTGTACTCCGATAGGAGAAGGAAGGACATGTCACCTTCAGGTTACCAACCTATTCTGTCAAGGCTACAAACATAAAGGCGTGATCCGGGATTATTATTTTAAGAGAAATTATTTAATAAATCATATAGACTTTTCAATGCTATTTTTTTAGGTAGGATGATGCCTTGGTGAGTAAACAATATAAATAAAAATAATCGTCCGAAGATGACCGAATAGGTTTTTTTTGTAAATGGCAATATATTGGAGATTTACCTTGTGGTTCCCTAGACAAGCCTAGTATAGCATCTATGGTGTGGTGCTTGGGCGGTGGCTTGTGCTTGTGGTGCTGTCCAGCAGCGAGCAAAGCTTCGAGGCCACAGCGGTGCTCCTCCTCACTGTCGGTGTCCATGCCGGCGACTGGATCGCTTCCTCGGCGAAGGGGTGGGCCTTGTTACGTCGGAGTACGGCTCGGCCAATCAGCTGCCGCGTATGGCGGCGGATCGACCACCCCCCCTCCCCACCACCGTCCCCCCTCTACCCCCCACAGGCCCCCGATACCCCGCTACACACTAACCCTGCGGCAGACAGATAACAATTAGCCCAAAATTAAGTGTACTAAATTTAGATTAAGCTTTTTATTTGAATAAAGCAGTGCTCTCACCCCCTCCTCCAACCACGGCACTTCCTCCTCATTTACCTAATATCCAAATACGCCTCCCCTCCCCTACCCTCCCGTTCAGTGAAATATTAGAATCAGGATAGAGGGCCATCCTTACGCATCTCAGATAAACACTTACTTTTATTGACAACACCGGCGCAGACTTTCCATTCTGTTCGGAGGGGGAGCGGTGGACCCCCAAAAATTACCGGGAGCGTTACATTACGTATAAAAATTATGAGTGATAATTAACCTAATTATTGTAAAATGAACAATACAATGCTAGATATAAAAATAAACACGTATATATATATAGGGAAGCTCAGTGGTAGGGCACTGAGTTTCTAATGCACAGGTCCCAGGTTCGAACCCCGGTTCATGGCAGAAAATTTATATATCTGTTTCAGTGGCCGTGGGGTGACCCTGGGTCGAGAGACCCTCCTGGGGCTCACCCAGCCTCTATAAAGTGGGTACCCTTAATTAAATAATTTATTAAGGGGGAAAACCTGGCGGTTGAGCGTGATCTCGGTCAAATCACCTCCTTGCACAACCGTTGACCTAGAAACGTGCTTTCCCTAAATAGTACTGAACCCCCAGACCCTTCATGGGTTGTAGTGGTACAGGTTTTATATATATATATATATATATATATATATATATATATATATATATATATATATATATCTATATATATATATATATATATATATATATATATATATATATATCTATATATATATATATATATATATATATATATATATATATATATAGAGAGAGAGAGAGAGAGAGAGAGAGAGAGCACTAGCGGATCCAGGATTTAATTTTGGGGGTGCTTCAGCCCGAAGGATATATTTTTTTTCATACATATAACGATAATTAATTTTTTTTAAAAAGAAGAAAGAAACTAACTACTGATATGACATAGTGTCTTAGGGATTCTTGAAGTCCTATTAAATGTAATTAAACGAACAATAATAGTTTTTAATATTTTTTTCTATAAAACATAGTTATATGTTACCATTTTGGGTAGGGCTTCAGCCCAGAAGCCTCCTCCCCCCTGTAGATCCGCCTGTGAGAGAGAGAGACCAAGAGAGATTTGATCACAAAACCGGAGAAACTATATAAAAATATGCAGCCTCGTTATTTTGACATGTTGGAGAGTGAAGGTAACTTTAAGATTACAAGGTAACAAAAAGTTATTTTTGTAGACCACTTTTATTGTCGATTTTTTGATCAAATTATCTTATGATTCAAATAGAAAAGCAAATGGGTATTCATGATTCTTCAGTACCCAATTAAATGGACAAACTTTGCCGATCTCCACATTGAAAACGCCCCAATTCCGAGAATTTTCGTAAACATAAAAATTGGTCTATAGCAGGGTATCTCAGTTCTCAGTGGCTATACTCTGGAGGATGATTCTAGACAACATTTTCAACAAAAAACTTCATTAAATTCTTAGCTCGATTCCGAAGAGAGCAAAGACTAATTTTGTTTTCTTTCTTAAAGTGGGCACCTTCTTTTATTGAATAAGAAAGAAATTCTCAAAAACTGTTCAAGATATTTAAATTCCAAGTACGCCATTGTAAAGTAGACCGAATTTCCTTTGAGGAAACATTGATTAAATTTACTAAGGCCAATGATAAAAGGGACTTTTGGGAGGTCTAATACGGCCGCTGTACAACTGCAGTTACAGTCAGGGCGGATCTACGGGGGATCTACTATCACAAAATGATAAAATATAACCATGTTTTATCGAAAAAATATTTAAATAGTATCTCTTAAAGTATTATTGTTCGTGTAATTACATTTAAAAGGGCTTTAGGAATCACTTAAACACCATTTCATACAGTTAGTTAGTTTCTTCCTTTTTTTCCAAAGTAATTATCGTTATTTTTATGAAAAAAAAACAACTTTCGGGCTGAAGCTCCCCCAAAATTAAATCCTGGATCCGCTATTGGTTACAGTACCTATACTCGATAAGCACATCTGTGTTCTCCCGATTGGTGAAATAATTCGGCATAATGACAGACTGCGTTATTAGACCTCCTGAAAGTCCCTTTTGACCTTCGTAAATTTAATCACTGTTTTCTAAAAAATAAATAAATGCCTATTTTGCGATGGGGGTACTTGAGATTTAATTATCTTGTACAGTTTTTCAGCGTTTCCTTCTCATTCAATACAAACCTTAAGAAAAACACAAAATTGACCTTAACGCCTTTTCATTCAATCGGTCCCTGCACCAAATGAACTGTTTTGTTGGAAATGTCTAGAGTCACCCCCCAGAGTTTAGCCCTTAAGTACTGAAAGACCTTGTATAGTCCGTGGTACTGGCCACTTATATTTATATTTACGAAAATTCTCGGAATTGGGGTGTTTTCAATATGCAGATCGGCAAACGTTGTCCATTTAATTAGGTACTAAAAAATCATGAATACCCAATTGCTTTCCACTTGAATCATAAGACAATTTGATCGCAAAATCGAGAATAACAGTTGCCTACAAAAATAATATCAACGGAAATACAAGTTTTAGCGTCCCCCTAGTCCAAATAACCAAGCCTCTCATAATATTCTGATTTTTTTTTTTTTTTAATGAAATTTACAACTGTATTACATGAAAAATACAAAAAGTAAATGTGACATAGGTAACATGACATGTACAACATGAAGAGAAACTACCCATTGGTAGAATTCAAATTAAAGTTCTGTATTAGAAGGTCCCGAGGCCATCTTCTTTTCAAACACCTCGGAGGGTTATAAGGGATCGAGGAGGAAGCAAGGTTGGAAACGAGAGGGTTCGGATAGTTCTGCAGTTTGTTATGGAAGGATAGATATCTGGATTGGGCCAAATCGGAAACATATGGAACATTAAGGTCTGTATGGATGATTTTATTTGTGACAAAGTAAGGAGCGTTGAGGGTTTTACAAAGGATTTTGGATTGTTAGGATTGGATACGAGAGGAATTCGATGGTTTAGTGGAGCCCCAAAGCTTAATTCCGTAAGTCCAAATAGGTCTTATTATTGTCATATATATGAGTCGTTTGTAATTGATTGAAAGCTTAGAGCGTTTGTCTAGTAAGTGCTGCAGTAGTCGAAAACGTCGGACGGTTTCTAGTCGTTTCAGTCTGGTAGAGGGTATTGTGAATCTTAAAAATGAAAATTCTCACGGAACGGAAATTACATATTTAATGTAGGTATATGCCTGGGATGTTACGACCATTTCGACAGCATTTATTTACCTGAATTGCCTCTTTGTATTATTGATTTTACACATTTTTACAATTTTGAATGAACCCTTTATCAATGTAAAATGAATTGGTTTTTAATAAAAACAATATATATATATATATAAACTATAAACATAAACAATTTGATAAATAAAGAATAAATACTTATCAGGTCGAAAACTGATTTCCGGGTATTGGTGTAGTAATGAATTGTGCACCCGAGACCGTTGTGTGGGCACATCGCCCCAGGGCGCCGCGGCTCGGAGATAAAAATTATTAATTAATTAATAAAATTAAAGCCAATTGACAAAGAAGATTTAATTTTTAATTTAAACTTTTAAAAGACAATTTTTTTTTTCATTTTTTAAAAATATCTTTGTTTTGTTCCTCTCAAAACCATTGCGCCACACACAGAAACTATAAAAACTAAATAAAGTAACCTTGATGAAAGACGGTGAAAAACTGTGGCTAGAAATTATTTGGTATAATATATAACAAAATATATGGTTAGCTGCTGAAATGGGGACGATTTTTTTTATTTTACTATTATTATAGATTTATTTGAATAGTAACAATATAATCTGCCATAATGAAGGGCATTTGGTTTATGGTTCTATGCTCACATTCATTCTTACATACAAATTAAAATAAAAGCTAAGAAGAAAATAAAATAAGAATAAAACATAAGTAAAAATTTTGAAAAAAATATTGAAAGGCATAGAAAAATACTTGTAAAAACAGAGGGAGAAATACACTGTAAAAAGAAAAAAGAAATAAAAGAGAGAAAAATTACTTGTCACACATTCATTCCTATTTACAATATTTAGATTCAGCCTGGAGAACCCTGAACCATGCTTTGCCACTCTCATGTGAAAGGCAAAGCAGGGCTCAAGGAGATCCCAGCGCCTCTCTCCCTCCCAGTCTCATCACCGTTGAGGACGATTTTAGTGGTATAGATATTGAAGGGAATACATTTAAAAATACAATTTCGATATTAAGATCGACGACTATGCTAAATGCTGAGAATGTTAGTTATTTTTTGGTTGCAAAATTGCTTAGCACCCATATTTTATCCCGAAATTTAAAAATTTACAAAACGATGATGCTTTTTATGGTTCTTTAAAAAGCGAAACGTTTCCACTTATTTTAAGAGATGGGCAACGCCTTAGAGGTTTTGAAAACTAAGTATTGCTTAAAACAAGGACCGAAGAAGGACGAGTTAACCACATATTTGTGAGTAAACCAATAGAAAAAAAAAGTGTTATCACACGTTTTTTTTTTAGAACTCATGGAGGGTCTTGGGTTCAGTACTATTTAGGGAAAGCACTGTTTCTTGTTATATGGTTGTGCAAGGAAATGATTTGACCAAGATCACGCTCGACAACCAGATTTTTCTCATTAATCAATTACTATAAATAACAATACCCACTTTATAGAGGCTGGGTGCCCCAGGTGGGTCTACCTACCCAGGGTTGCCCCGCTGCCAATGAAACAGAATAAATAATTTTTCTGCCATCA